GTTAAGTTTGCTTTGAAGGAGTCAGATTTCAGGCATCAGCAGTGCCATCACAGCACATACATTTATTCTCTTTTGATGCCCTGTATTCTTACAAGGATTAATGCTTCCTGGGTTCTTGATCTTGCATTTCTTTTCAGTTTTTTTCCAGGGGTGGAACTTGGATGTGCTTGCGATGTTGCCATCAACCAAAATTGTTTTGAGGATGGTTTCCTGCGTGTTAGGTCCTGTGGTCACTGGAGAATGATTGTTGGTACCAAAGTGTTGTTTGGAGAGAGATAAAAATGGCCTCTTAAAAAATTTGTGTGTGTTTAGGGAGTTCTGAAGGATCATTCTACATTTGCTTCTTTCTTCTGAAAAGACATCAGGGAGGAGGATGGTGCGAGACCCGTTGCAGGTTCTGGTGTGTGCACTTTTAAGATGTTTATTAAAGACTTGATTTCTGCAAGAACCAAGTTACTGCACCATATTCCCAACCCCAGTCTATCCCTCAGAGTTCCTCCTGTAGCTGGAGGTACAGGACTACGTGACTCTTTTTTTCTTTAGGACAGAGAGTACGACAAACGTACCCATAGTAAACTTGAAATTATATGTGAATTTGGCAGCATTTTGATACTGGAACATCAATGCTGCTATCTCTTACATGTAGTTTGGTATTTTATTACTTTGTGGTCTGTGCTAAAACATGCTGTCATGAGCATCTGTTGGTTGGGAGGGTCGTATACACTTGTATAAGACTGTTTTTCTTAAATGATGCATGGGTGAATAGTACTTAAAACTCAGGGGGTCAGTTTTCTTCAGTTAATACTTGAATTTATGCTTTTGTGCCTCAGATTGGTTTTCTCCCCCAAGCACTAATCTTCTGTTCAGCACTAAACAATCCTTGACTTCCTGAGTGTTGAAATGTCTTATCTCTAGGCAGAGAGATAAGAAGAGGGGGAAAAATATAATCGTTATAAAAAGAGTTATTCTTTTTCCTAATATTCTGTTACTAAGAGCCGTAAAAAGAAGTTGTCCAGTTGAATTCTACTCTTTACTCCTTTATTTATTTTAAACATAACAGCTGTTGATATGAGTTGATGGAGGTCTGCAGGCTGTAGGGAGTGTACAGTGCCCACAGTAATTCATACATTTTTCTGTTCACAAAAAGTTCAATATGAAGGCAGGACTGGTAGCCTGGGGTTGTGTTACCTGCCAGGAAAAGCAGCTTAAGGCCAGTAGACTTGCATTGCTGTTTCTATCTGGAGAAGTTGAAATGGATTCCATTCCACTAAATACCTTAAAGAGCTTTGGAGTTCATTTGGTTTTTTGCCTTATGCCCCTTTCTGTTTTACAGCAGCTAGTAGTTTTTTAAGGAGAGCATGTTCAGCTCCCAGCAGTCCACTTAGTCTTCTCAGAAAAAAAAAAAAAGTCTGCAATTTAATTTACTCTTCTTTTCCTCTTTCAATCAGCCAGCAGGATTTCAGAGAAAGGGGTCTGGCCTTGTTTTCATTATCAGTTTGCAGTTTGACCCAGATGTGGGCCTGGACTGTAAGGTTCCTGTCTGTTGGTGCAGTCTGGGAAGTGCACAGAAGACACGTGTGAAGCAGCTCCCCAAAAGAGTGCACTGAATGGGATACAAGGCTTTGAGGAGCTGGTTGTCACAGCTGGTTTTTTCTGATTCAGTAGAAATTATCTTTATTTGCATGTTTGAGCAAAAAAATAAAAAAGCAGGATTCTTGCAGTGAGACACAGTTACTTTATTAGTGGTAGTAATACCTGTGTGTTGTGTATAACTTCACAGAGGTCCTTCTGCCAGAAGTTATTAGTATTAGTTATTTGGTAAGTTTTTCAGAATCTGTTTTAGTCCATGTGGGTGGAGTCTTTTAGGGGGAATTACTCTTGGTTTTGCTAAGTTGTTGTTTCAGTTATAAAAAACAGGATTTGGGGAAACAAATGCTTTGCTCGTGAAAATTTGTGATGGACTCACCATCTCAAGGAATGTTGTTACAAAATAGTTTGCAAGACTCCGCTGATATTCAGGATCAAGCAGGAACTGTCTAAGAAGATGCCAGAGGGTTTCTGGTTCTTTGAGTTATTGATCAGATAATACAATCAAGGTGTTCTGTTTTGGTTTGTCTTCCCAGGCCCTTGCAGCCAATGCTGGGACGGGGTTTGCAGTGGCAGAACCTCAAATTGCCATGTTCTGTGGGAAGCTAAATATGCATGTGAACATCCAGACTGGGAAATGGGAACCTGACACTTCTGGGACCAAGAGCTGCTTTGGAAGAAAGGAGGAGATTCTGCAATACTGCCAGGAGGTGAGACTTTTTGTGTGATCCTGAATCTTCACTGCTGTGAAGGAATTGGATTCCAATTTAGCTGCTCAGTAGCAAATTAACCCTGTAGGAGATGCGCTTGCTTTTGCCTAGTCCAATTCTCTGCACTATCCTGCTGTGTTGTTGTCCAGGAAGAGCAGGGAGGACACTGCAGCGGGGTTTAGAAGCTACCTCCCATCAGCTCCTACTGCCACAGAAGGTCCTTGGTCTGTTCAGTCAGAGGTACCTTCATGTGTTTGCAGGGCTTTACTCCAGTGTTCTTCCCCTGAGCTGGTTAACCAGTATCTGCTCTCTGTTGCGTAAAATGGAACCTGACACCTATTTTAGTTAGAATGCAGCGATGCTGTTTTAGTGACATGCTGAGATCAGGCAGAATCTTAAAAAAATATTTTAATCGAATTTTGTCAGTATTTTTAAGCTATTTAGACTTTATTGAAAAAGATGTAATCATCTTCTAGTGTGTTCAAGATATACTGTACCATACTGGTCTTGTCCAGTGTCTTTAATTGCTCCTCTGAGGTGACAGATATGTAAAATACCACAAGGAATATATTTTTATTAATGGGAAAGCAACAGTGTCTGGACTGGAAAACTTTTTAAACTGTTTTACAAGGCTGATATAACTGGGGCTGCATTTTTTTCATGTGGTAGAAGCCTATATATAAGTCAGTGTCTGGACTTGAGAACTTGACCAGGGTATAAGGATCAAATTCATACATCATAAATGGACCAGGCATGAGGAAACCTGAGGAGGTGGGTGCATATTTTGACAAGTGATGAGAGAGTCTGAAGATGGTACTAAACCTTTTTGTTGGTGATTGCTGTTCCAGGGGTATTGTACTGCTCCAGAAAGAATTAAACAGCTACATCTCCTCCAAACCCAAATACCCAAATACTCCTCCTCCACTGCTGTGCCAATCCAGACCTCTCAGCTTAGTGCCAGTGAGGACTCTTGCCCTGACCTGGCTTTCTCCTGCCTCAAGGCAGTGGCATATCTATTTCTGAAGCCCTGTGTGACAGACAGCTGGAGCTTTTTTATGTCTCTAGCTGTCCTGAGCTTGATCCAGAGCAGAGTTGTGTGTCCACGTGCAAACTCCAGCTTGTTCCTAAGTTGGAGTTGTTCTTGTGTAGAGAATCAGCCTTACTACTCTGGTAGGAGCTGCTCTGCACATTCTCTGTCCTTTCTGGAGAGAAACCTCTCTGTCTGTGCTGTTCCCAGATGTACCCAGACCTTCAGATCACCAACGTGGTAGAAGCCAACCAGCCCGTCAGCATTGACAGCTGGTGCAAGCGTGGGAAGAAGCAGTGCAAGGACCACACTCACATCGTTGTGCCCTACAAGTGCCTGGGTGAGTGTGTGCTTGTGGGTGTGCTGTGCCTTCCTGTGGGAGAAGCAAGGGGCTGCCTCCTGGATTCTTACAGAGAGAGCAGCTCAGTTTGTTAGACTTGTGGAAATGACAACCTGATACAAGACAGCTTTCACTGTTTTTCTTTCTGACATGTTTTTTTTCCCACAAGATGGAACTCTGCCTTTCTGGAGCAGATCGACAGCTTGGTAACAGCTGTGGTAGAATAATGGTGCCTGGCATGAGAAACAAATCCCCATTCTCTCTGCAAACGCCATAAAAACCTGAAGACTGTTGTATCTGAGTACCACAAAAACACTGGGATTTAATACTTTGATCCTATTTTTGTGAAGCTTTAATATTTTGTTGCCTTGGAGACTTAAATGCTCTGTGTGCTCAGGCTTCCTGCTTGGTCTTGGCAAGAGATCTCTATTTTATTTCAATGGCTATATTTAAACTTAGCTGTTTCAAAGAGGCTCTTCTTCTTACAGCTGTATCTCCTTTCCCCATTTTGAACCGTGAAAGAATATGAGATAAACTGTGATGGATTTCATGGTGCTTTCCAGAATGTCCCCACCCCCTGGAATCAGGCAACATGTTTTTACTGGTTAACTTGTGACTTTTGACCTGTGGGTTGTGTGTGACACTGCACTGCCCCACTGCACTGTGTGTTCTTAGGAGTGAGCTTAGTCTCAGCTGGCTTTATTTCAGTTATCCACTGGAAAAGACTTGTAAGAGGTCTTGGGAGAGACCTCCTACTGAATGCTCCCAACTGATTGTTGGATCATTGAGTAGGAACCAGTTTTCATAATTTGTGTCCATATCTCAGCTTACCATGTGATTTGACAAGGGATAATACCAGCAAAGCAGCAGAACCATGTGTGTGCTTTGTCCTTTATGTAATGCCTTCCATGAGACCGTCATAAAGCACTTCATTAAACATAGAATTTATTGTGGACACATCCTGAGAGAAAGGTGCTTGTCTTTATAGATGTGGAAATTCAGGTTTGGGAAACAACCAAGCCAAACTGGATCATGAGGATCTCCTTATGATCATCTCTTGATCATAAGGAGAACTTCTGATGGAAATAAGGTTGAAAGCAAGATCCCTGGATTTATAAGGAGTCATCTCTTTTAGAAATAATTGTTCCCCTAGGCTATTCTCCAGCTAAAAAATAAGCTGATTTTACTGATGCTGCCCTAAAATTTGATTAGCATTAAACTATTCAGGTTTTTCATTAATATATTGCACAGTGTTCATGATTTTCAGGCCCTAGCCTGTGAGGCAGCCTTGGTTTTCAGATCTGAGTTGCAAGTCTGGAGGCCATATGACTATAAAATCTCTATCTTCAGCACTCCACAAATTGCTTCTTGTAAATGGATGATGCATTTCTCTGGGATTATAGTCAAACTGTGGGATTTTGTTCCCTTTCTTAGTTGTGTTTTCCTTGATGCATTAATACACAGGAGACCTTGAGGTAGGACCCTGTCACCATACCCTGTTTAATCTTCCCTGCCCCTACCCCAACAAGGAAAACTACTTTGTGTTTGAAAAGTGAAGAGAAGAACCCAGAATCAGCATCCCTTGGTTTTAAAGTTTGCTCAGTTTTACTTTTCTTACCAGAAGCATTTAAACTTTTCCTGACAGAGTAAGAAAAAAAATCTAACTAGCCTGTTTTGAGGTGAGAAAATGGGGAAAATACAATCTCTCTTTTAGTTTAAAATATAAGTAATTGCAAAGGTCATTTGATTTCAATGTCTTCAATTATCAGGTAATCTATCTCTAAACTATTTAACTTCTCTGTACTTTGTAAATGTATCCATGATCATTTAATATCAACAGTAAGGATCTGCAAAAAAATTGGTCATGCAAACAATATTTAAAATATATTTTGAAAAGATGGTGTGAAAGATTGGTTTGACAAAGAATTCTGCTTTGTGGAAAAGTCTTCTCCAAAAGTCTTTTCCTGTGAGCAAAGGTCTTAAAAGCTTTTCTCCAATTTTAACAAATGTTGCTGCTCCTAATACTGCTGGTCACGTGTGCAGGGAATGCTGCTTTAAAACACTTGAGCTGAAGATCTTTTCCTGGTCTTCTCAGAGTATCTAGCTCTCTCCTTATTTTAAAATTAATGAATGCAGCATTTGAATCTGCAAGAAAGAAAAACCTTGGCTTGGAGCAAATTTCATGTTTGGATTCCAGTGGCAGTGTTTGCTGGGACTTCTTGGGTAAGAACTGGACATTATCCTCAATTGCTTCTGATCCGTAATTCATGTGTGTTGGTACCAGGCTGAATGATGATAGAAATTTAGGCTAAATAGCTTTAAGTCCAAAAAGTAGAGTCTGTACAGCAGACAGATTCTCTCTCTCCCATTTTCCCCTAAAGCAAAAATCTGGGTTTGGCCCAAGGATTGTACCAAAGCTTCCTCATGCTAGTGGGGTTGAGGTTATCTAGATACTGGAATGCAATGTATTTGCTGACTCTGGTTGTACTCTGATATTTAGCCTGTATAGTTTTTATTTTCCAGCTCTCTGTGTTTTGGTTAGGGCAGTGAATGTGCTGTGGTTGATCTTGAATTGAATCATCTGGGAAAAAAAAAAGAAAAGCAAACAAGACTTGCTCAAATACTGAAAACATAGATAACACTCTCAGCATATAAAATTTTCCAGGCTGTTACAGCAGCAGACAGCATGAAGGAACTTTGGTATGATGCAGCTCATTTGAAAATAGGTGATTTGGTAGTTTGAAACTTCTTAGTGCAGACACAGTCTTCTCAAAGATTTGAGTGAAATCTCTTCAGCCAGTCCTTTCGTGGAAGAACAACTATTGATTAAGTTGTGCTGAAAACTCTGCATTCAGCTTTCGGGGTCTCTTTCAAGAGAATCACCCCATGCTCATCATTTTACATTGGACTCTCTCAGGCTCTATTTTTCTTTAGATTCTTAGAAATAATTTTTACAGCTGGTGTGATTGTCTCCTTTAAGTATATACCAAACCCCCAAGGCACATTGTTGTGGTTTAACGTATTTAAGGAAAAATCCATGACCTGTGGAAGTGATTCCCTGTAAAGACCTTGGCAGCTTCCTTCAGACCTGATGGAATCAATCAGCTGGCTGGCTTTGAATATTGACACCCTGTCAAACCACTTAAGAGAGCTGAACGTGCCTTTGCGGAATCACATTTAAAAATGAAGAAACCCTGGGAAAAACTCTTTTTTCTGGCTTTTGAACAGGTAACTGGACCTGCACCAGACCAGGCCCTGACCCGCTGTGGTGCTGGGCCGGGCCCTGCTCTGCTGCAGCGCTGGCCTGGTTGGCACCTGCGCATGGCCAGGTTGGCCCACAGCATGGCTCGGCTGAGATTCTGCTACTACTGCTGAGTTCCAACCATGACTGGTGGGCCAGGCCCGCTCTGCTCAGCTTCAGGTGGAGCCCAGCTAGTCTCTGCTCCAGCCATGAGCTGCCCAGCCATCCTTCTGGCACTGCAGAAAATCATGCAGCTGAGAACAGAGGTGGCTCTGCAGCCCTGTGCAGAAAAGCAGCCCCACAGCTGTAATTGAATGTGGCAGGGGCCAGGAAACAGCCATGCCGCCAGAATGGCTGCTGCCTGGCAGAGGTCACATAACCATCTATAGGCCAGGGCGAGATATTAACTGTTTTAGTGCACAGATTGAACTTGAAGGCATCAATCTTCTCCCAAGTGAGAGAAAAAGGAAAGGGTGAAGACCCGTAAAGAAAATAATATGGAGTCACCAAGGTCAGTGAAGAAGGAGTCAAATCCCACGTGGGAGGAGAATGAGGAGATGCCTTAGTCTTGGGCTGAAATTCTCTTGTAAGGCTATGGTGAAATTATAATTGATAAAACAGACTTTTTTTCCCTGTAACTCATGGAATGCATTTGGGAGGATGTAGCGTTCTAACTACAGCCATGAGCAGGAGCACCAGTGTTGAATCAAGCAGATGTTGAAGTAGCTGTGATCTAATGAGGAGCTTGAACAGAGATATGAGAGAAATGAGAAACCTCACCCCAGGGATGAGAGAAGAAAACCTTGAGATAAAAGAACTTTTGGTTCTATACTAGAACAGCTTATGCTTAAAACTGCACCCCAGTAAACTGAGGAGACCCATGGTGGTAGTTGTGGGAAGACTACCAAACCATGGGAAGAACTTCATGATTGTGGATTTCTGGGTGGCTGCAATTCATGAAAATTAAAAGCATGAGAGAACTATTTCTTGTGGAAAAGTCTCCATGGCATGGCAGGAGAGACTTCTCTCCCTGAGTGAACTGAAGAAAGATTATTTTAAAAGTGGTAAACTGACTGAAAATACCAGATTTGTCTCTTTATGTTGTAAGCAGGAAAAGAAAGAAGAGTTGGGGGAAGGAGAAGTGTTCTGAAGGTTTTTTCTAATTTCTTACTATTATTTCCTTTAGGTCTGTTAATAAAGTTTTCTTTATACCCATTAAAGTTTTGAGCCTGCTTTGCTCTCCTCCTAATCCTTATCTTGCAGCAAAAAATGAATAAATTATTCTAATGGGTGCTCTGGCATTTGGCTACTGCTAGACAGTACATTGTTTTTCTCCATTTACTGAATGGAAATAGTGATATTTTATTAAACATGTAGCTTTGTTATTCTGGGTTATGCCTGTGTAATGTAACTCTCTAGACAGAGAATGTGCAGATGGATCTACACAGGAAGATCCTAGATTAACTTGGAAACATGCTGTAGAAGCAGAGGTATGGACTGAACTGTGTGCTTGTCATTTACAATAGTGTTTGTGCTGGCTAAAGGCTGAATATTCTCAAAGGAGTAAGGATAAAACATAAGCATTTATTTTGTGCCTTTTATATTAGCCTGGGTAGATAATTGTAGATAATTTTTTTTCTGTTTGAAACCATGTATGTTGAATGTCAGAATTGGTTTTACAGATTATTCTCAACAGTGTATGATTTTTTTTTAACAGGTAGATTGAAATTGAACCAGAATGGCTGCTGTTACCTCAAATAGTCCTCCAAACCCAAGCTGCAAAATCATGACTTTTAGGCCTTCGATGGATGAATTCAGGGAATTCAACAAATACTTAGCACACATGGAATCACAAGGTGCTCATAGGGC